TACACCAGTCTTCATTGTCACATGATCCTTCAGAAATCATTATAATATGCAGATTGCTGTTTAGGAAACATTTATTATCAGTGTTGAAAACAGTTAATAGTTTTTTTTTGGAAAATGTTCCACGAATGTCTTAAATGTCACGATTTTAAGCATCCTTAAAATGACCCCCAACTTTTGTATGATAATGTATGTTTTTATAGTATATAAATATTTTTAAAAATGATACACACACATAAACATTTTGTTTGATGCTTCTGTTTAGGAAGCTTGTTGGACTTTTTGAAAGATGGAGATGGCAGAAATTTAAAATTGCCTCAACTTGTGGACATGGCAGCCCAGGTAAAGCTTCTTATTAGTACACAAATATATATCAAACATTCATTATCCATTACTGGGACAGTCGTCCTGAAGCAACTTAGTGTTAAATGGTTCAAGTTGGAACCAAGAAGCTGGTGTTCGGTCTAGTGAATAAAAAGAAACCATTGATTCTTGAATGAATCACTTTATTGAATCTAAAAAATTGCAGCTTTACCAGAATTGCTCTTTGCATTTCCCATTTCTATTTATGGTAACATATCAAGCCATAATGGATCTTCAGATCCTGGATCAGTTAAGTCTTAGTATGAATACATAAGACAACCAGATATCTCAGTTTTCTGTACAGAGTCAATCACCCTTGAACCTTTTGAAAAACAATTGTCAAGATATAAAAAGCATCTTTCTTTGTATTTTTGAGAGCATGTCTTTATCGAGAATGTGTCCATACTTGGCAGGTTTGAATAAAATGATTGGGTTCGAATGCTCTGTTAGTTCGGTTCATCTGAATAAGTGTGAACGCTGTTATCCAGACCCTGGTGACATCAAACAAGTGGACTGAGATGCTGAAAAGATGAGTTTCGGTCCGCTTCCAAACAAACTGGTGCAGTTCGAATGAACATGAATGCAACAAAGACAAACAAATGATGCAAGATGTGACCCTGAAAAGGACAGATTGCTCAAGCATATCTGTTTTTTCTTGTCATAGTCACGATGTTGCCCATCACAGTTTGTCTCATCGCAGCAGATCTTCGTTCATGTGTGTGACGGAGGGATTCCTGACGGTGTTTTGACTCCTTTACCCATTTTATAAGCTCTACAGGAGTTCTCAGCTGATCAAAATGGCATCATATGTAGCTACACACATACATTGAGCGCATTTATCCCAGAACACAGCGTTGTTTTGCTTGTTCAGTAAGTTCCATCTCGAAATATACATGATCAAAGACGACCAATCAGGTTGTGAACATTTCCTTATGCCTTTAGGTTCGGCATCTTTAGCTTCGGTGTTAAAATGCCAATGTGGACGCTAAGCCAACCAGGACTAAATGTTTTTTTTAGGGTGGGTCTGTACAAAACTTACCGAACTACAAGTGTGAACACACCCTTGACATTTTATAAGCTCTTCACGAGTTGTCGGCTGGTAAAAACATCATACAGTATGTACGCATTCAGCCTGGTGGCCAGCATTGTTTAGGATGTTTATAAGTTCGTTGGCGCAAAATAAATGTCATAAAGCCCTTTTTTTCCTGTCTTTAGGTTCTGTGTTTAAAATGACAGTGTGAATGCTAAGCAAACCAGGACTAAATGTATCACTTGCTTTTTTGGTCTGGACTAAAAGAAGCAAGAGAACCGAAACTACAAGTGTGAACACACCCTAAAACTAATAGCAATCTCACTTCTTATGTATTGTGATGAAAGCGCTTTCTTTCTTCTAGATCGCTGGGGGCATGGCGTATATTGAGCGGATGAACTACATCCACAGAGACCTGAGAGCTGCCAATATCCTGGTTGGAGAGGGTCTGGTCTGTAAGATTGCAGATTTTGGACTGGCTAGACTCATTGAGGACAATGAGTACACAGCTAGACAAGGTCACTGACAATCTATGACCTAAACTTGATCTTGAGTTTCATCCTTTATGTGATACTATCAAATGTTATTTATCTCTTCTTTGCCCTTCACTCTATATCATTCCTGCCCATTTTTGTTCTTTTTTATTTTTTAAGCTTTTATTAATTATAACATTTCCTTGCATTTGGATGAGTCCTGGAATCTTAGTCAAGCCATTCAACAATAGGGTATATTGGCTAAAAAAAATAAAAAAATAAATAAAAAAATAAAAAAAATAATATATATATATATATATATATATATAACATTTTTTACAGCAAAACATATTTTGTGAAACAGATGTTACATCCAAAATTATAAGAGAAAGAAAAAAGGGACATACAATTCATCAATTGTAGTAACAATAAAATGTACGTAATATGTTGCAAGGCAATGTCAGCCAACCCATTATTACAGCTTTTTTTGTATATCCAGTAAGCTATATAGTTAGATCCGATCTGTTTTCATTTATTTTTTATTTTTCAGAGGTACTGAGGTACTCTCATTCCCAAAATGGTTCATTTCTTTTTATTTATTTCTATCATTACTTCTTTCATTCCTCATATCCTTTGTATCTCTTATTCAATAATTCTTAAGATTTCCCTTTTTTCTTGAAAAAATATTTAAAAATTCTACACTAGGTCTGGTCTAAGTGGGATAATGTAGTCTATCCATATTTTCTCCATAGATTGATAAATTTCTCAGACTGTAGCCGAAGATTCATTGTTAACTTCTCCATTGTGTGAATTTCATACACAATTCCCAGCCAATCGTTAATTCTGCTCATTTTGTTCTAATACTCATTTTACTTGAGTGCAATTTTCAGCTTTAATTTCTCAATTTTGGGCTGCTGCCTCTCTGTACATTTAATCATTATTAAATGTGTGCTGAATTGATCGTCTCAATCCTCATATTATAGGAGCAAAGTTTCCAATAAAGTGGACCGCCCCAGAGGCTGCTCTGTATGGGAAATTTACCATCAAATCAGATGTGTGGTCTTTTGGCATCTTGTTGACGGAGCTCATCACCAAGGGCCGAGTGCCTTACCCAGGTGCGTTTGTAAAAACCAAAGAAGAATCACACTGATAGACCAAAGAAAATGAAGGCTTAAAGGGGTAGTTCACCTAAAAAATGTAGGTGAACCAGAGGTGAACTCACCATCAAGTTTTTCATGCTTCATGAAATGATGTAAAAGCACCATAAATGTATCATAAAGTGTTCCATGTAACTCATGCGTTATATATCAAGTCTCCTGAAGCAGGGTTATTATCGTTAACTAAAACTAAACCAAAAACAATAATTAAAAAAATGAATTATTTGAAATAAATGTTAACTAAAATAAAATATTAAAATATATATATTTTGTTTTAGCAAGTTGCCAAACATTTCTCATTTCCATTTAGTTTGTTGCCGATTATCTTTATTTTAGGGCTGTGAAACGATTAATCGTGATTAATCGTATCCAAAATAAAAGTTTGTTTTTACATGTGTATAAAGTAGGGCTGTCAAACAATTAATCACGATTAATCGCATCTAAAATAAAAGTTTGTGTTTATATAATGTGTGTGTAGTGTGTATTATATAATACACACTACACACACATATAATATATGTGTGTGTAGTGTGTATAATTATTTTGTATATATAAATACACACACATGCATGTATATATTTAAGAAAAAATATTATTGATGCATAAAATATTTATATATAATATAAATTATACTGTATATAAATCTATATACACTATATACATGAAAATATTCCTTAAATATATACATGAATTTGTGTGTATTTATATATACAAAATAATTATACACACCACACACACATATATTATGTAAACACTAACTTTTATTTTGGATGCGATTAATTGTATGCTATTAACCTGGTTAACCTGTTTGTTTTTGTTTTTTGTTAAAAAGATTACAAGAACTGAAAGTCATATAAAGTCAATAAAAAATAAATAAAATAATTAGTTTGGCCTTCTTGGTTGATAGCCAACATTTTCTGATGGTTAAGCACATGCTTCCACTGAAAAATAGGAAAAATATATTTATGAATATTTTGTATCCTACTGTTAAAACTTGTTTGTTTTTGAAAGAAGTGTCTTATATTTGATATCTTTGAAATGTATTTAAAAATGTAATTTTGATTTTTCAGCATCATTACTCCAGTCTTCAGTGTCACATGATCCTTCAGAAATAACTCTAAAATGCTGATGAATTCAGAACTACAAACACAAAAATTGTTAAAAACATGGCAGATGTGCACAACCAACGGTTAAGTAGAGATTTAGATTAGAAGGGTTTCATTGATTAATAATAAATAGTTAACCTGATAAAAATATTTATGTAATGTAATTTTTGGAATTTGTAACTTTTTTTATAAAGTTCCATTTGGCCGTTAACTTTAAATGCATCACTATGCAAAAATAAAGGTTCGCCACATGAAAGACCCACAGCTGGCAGATCAACATGCCCTTCTTTTCTCTCCTATATGGTAGGAAATTAAATTAAATGAGATGTGGAGGATGTTAACTGTGACAAGATGATTGACAGGCCAGTTTACGGTGAAAGGATGCATGTAACTATCCCTCAGCGCAATTTCATGACGCGACAGTATATCCCAAAGCATGTACTACACACTCAATAGTATGTACTTTTTAGGCGTATAGTGGGAAGCAGCAAGTTACTCTTATAATAAAAATCATACTTGTCTCGTAGGATATATATAATTCTCTTTTTCTGTATGTATGTATTTGTGCAGGGATGAACAACAGAGAGGTGCTGGAGCAGGTGGAGCGTGGGTATCGCATGCCGAGTCCGCAGGGCTGCCCGGCTTCACTGCACGAGCTGATGGTGCAGTGCTGGAGGAAGGACCCGGACGAGAGACACACCTTTGAGTACCTGCAGGGCTTCCTGGAGGACTACTTTACTGCTACTGAACCCCAATACCAGCCTGGAGAGAACCTGTGATAGCATTAGCTCAATATATCCTTCAGGAAAGATGCGATCGCCTTTCTAACTTTCTATCACAATACCTCCAAAAACTGCTGCACTGATGCACGGCACCTCAATCACAGGCTCTGGACATGCAATCTCTCATCTTGTGGTGTAGCGTGAGAGCTTCAAACTAAAAATGCCTTCCAAGATCTCAAACCGCAAGATGGGTCACTTTTTTGAAGTAATAATGGGCAATGCTAATGTCGGGTCTTCTTTAACTTTAACCCCTGGTTTCACAGACAAGGCTTAAGCCTAGACTAAAATACACGTATGAGGAGTTTTAACTGAAAGAATGTCTTTAAATGTGTCAGTTCCATTGTGTTTTGTCTCAAAGACGCACACCAGTAATGTTTTCTTCCGAGGCACATTTATAAAAGCTACTTTAATTTAAATAAGGCTTTATCCTGGCTTAATCTAAACCCTGTCTGTGAAACCAGGCCTATAAATATGATGGCACATATTAATACAGCTTATTGCATATCTTTGATTAGGCAATAGCAATCATATTTAATCATATTAATACCTACCCGTTTCATTATATCCACCGCTGTATTTGAATGCCTTGTCTCTTATAGACTATTTCTAATGAGTTATTCTGGCCAACGGAGGATTTTGCTCTGATATAAAACAGGAAATCTCTACTGGACATTCGGCAGTAATCCGGATAATTGAGATTTTTCACACAGCTATCTAGTCGGAGGTGTGTTTTCACAGAGAAAGCTCTTCCAGCTCCTGAAAGAGCATTTTTGAATGTAACAATTTTTTGTCTCCCAAAAAAAAAAAAAAAAAAAAACTCAATGCAAATGTCTTGATATGAAGTAGTCAAAAATGAAATCTTGAAATTACAGAGGTGATTGTGTGTCCATCTCAAAACTATTTGAAATGCTCTTGCTTTTGTTTCTCTGGGCTGTGTTCATTTATCCAGTCATGTTATTGCTTTATAATAATCATTTTTGTTTAATTTTGAAGTCTAACAGTCTTGTATTATCTTATTAGACAGCAGTTCTGTTGTTTCTAGTGAGTTTAAAGACGCAGTATTGACGTCAGCATTGAAAAAGACTTTCTTCAGAGCTGTCCTTTAAAATGAGAAGAAAAACTACTGTTTTTATTGTTTTGTTTCCTGCATTTTACACTGTATTTTCCATCTAATCGCTGCGATTTAGTCTATAATTTAAGTGGATATCAAACCTGTGGCTTTATTCGGGGTCAGTGATATTCTTGAAGTGAAGGATGTGTATTACAGTTATGTGATGTTCGTGCCATTTTATTATACTGAGCTTACTGAACTGAACCCATGTGTCTAACATGCTTCTTTTACTTGACGTTGTCCACACTCACACACTTTTGCAGGATGCTTTCACATTACAGCTGCACTTTTGATCAGTGAAAGATCTTGATCCAAACACCCACGCTATCTTATTCCTGAACGACGAGGATTCGGCTGTCTATAGCAGTTATCGTTCATATGTATGAAACAATAATTCAAATGATCACATAAGTACTGGAATAAAAGCTTTTTTAGTCCGGATAAACACTGATATCTACAGTAGCAATCTTGTTACACCAGTTGGTGGCGACAAATGACTGTGAAAGGATTTGTCACGATCATTTATTCAAGTGATTCATTTAAAGGGGTGATGAACTGAGAAATCAAATTTTCCTTGAGCTTTTGACATCTAAGAGGTCATATAAGTATATCCAGTAAGTTTCAGAACTAAAAACGTCCTTGTTAGTCCAATAAAAGCGTTTATTGACACCAGGTTCAGCAAACGTTTTTTAAAGTGGGGAACTATGACGTCAAATAGGATAAAACACCACCCCCGCAGAAGAAGATTACTTCAACATGGCCGGTTTAGCCCCGCCCGCCGATTCGCGCATTACACGCATATAGCTAAATAACATAGATGCCTACCTCATGATGACAAACCAGTTTGAGCAACCGAGCAATACAAAATATTGTGCAGTGCCTGGTTGTGGAAGAAGATAGACGCTGCACATGCTTCCTCTGGATTCCAATAGGACTGCATGGATAAACTTTATTTTTAATGACGTTCCAGCTGATGAGGTAAAACGTTGTCGCTTCATTTCACTGAGGATTGTTTTGTAAACAAGACTGGATTTGCAGACCGATCAAGATTAAAGAACAGTGCTGTGCAGTCTATATTGGATCCGACAGGAATGGTGCAATACACGGACTCTGGGTCGAACATGTAGGCTATGGGCGAATCATTCCGGTTGCCATTTTACAACATTGGACGTTTTCAAAACACAGACGGGTGAGTCGAAACTCATTATAGTATGTAAAAACTGTTTTCCACTCACAGCAGTGGGCGTTTACTTCCAAGTCTTCAGTCCGCGAAGCCCAAACCGAGCGTTTTTCAGCTAGGCTCAAAACTAGGGTATAAAATAGCCTATTACTTATTTATTTTGATGTTTTTGAATGCAAAAATCAAGCGAACATCAAAAATTGACCTCAGACAACAATATAATACAATTTAAAAAGACAGGTGACCCCTTTAAAATGCTGATTCATAGGCTGTCTGAAATCACATAGGCTACTCATGTCTTGAGTAGGTACTTATTCTGAATAAGTAATTACTTCTCGACTGCTAAAAATGTGTAGTATGAATGTAATCCTGTGTAATCCCAGGCATAGACCGTAAAAGAAAGTAATCAGGTGTTGTGCCGAATTTCGACCCCCGCCAAATTATTACCCCCCTAGTATTGGTAGGTTTAGGATTAGTTGTGGGGGAGGGGTTAAGATTAGGGGCGGGGTTGGGATTAGGCAATCAGGTACTGACTTCAACGAGGGGGGTAATAATTTGGCAGGGGGTCGAAATTAGGCACAACACCGGACGTGCTACATTCGCCATGTAGTTACTGTCATGTGACCCACGGAGTCAGTTGTGTCGCTTCACTGTCCTTCACAAATCTTCTCCCATGGCCTAAAGGGATAGTAAAATGTTCATCGTATGCACACTTCAGAATCTCACCGGAAGTAGTAGGTCATCCAGGTACATTTTGCCGACTCTTTTGAGTACTGTGAATTCGGACATACTTCTTCTGTCACGGTTTTCGCCTTTATATAGTAGGGACGTATGTGATTTCGGACGCAGTCATAGTGTTTTCAATGGCATCCACTGTAAAAAGCTGTATAAATCTCCTACTTAAACAGATCGTGATTCTCAGTTGATCAGGAGTGGTGCAGCGAGAGAAACACGCTCGATTGCTCACACAGCTGCATTTTATGCTCTCCTCTCTGCTGTCCACAAGATGGCAGAAGAAGCATAATGTGAATACTGGGATGTGTGCAGGGTTTTAGTATGCTGTGTTGGTTTATTAATTATCCTGCTGGGGTTTGTAGTCATGATGGTACATTCTGTACCTGCACTGAGCTGGCACTTTGTTCTCGCTGCAGATTTGATTTTCACATTTATAAATTAAACAGTTGCTGCATCTTTTTGCTGCTGCGGGGTAGAGAGAGCTATTCTGCAGGCCTGGGGATGTGTGTGTGTGTGTGTGTGTGTGTGTGTGTGTGTGTGTGTGTGTGTGTGGATGATTAATTTCAAGCACGTTTTGGCATTTGTCCCTGTTTATAAAAATCCGATATAACAAGAAAAAAATTTAGGTGGAGGAGCTTCAGATAATTCAGATTAATGTAGGTTGACTTTCTTTTGGGCAGAATTTGTTATTGCAATCTGGTTTTAGATTTCAGACTGTTTTTTTTTTTTTTCTAGCTATCAAGTAAACACTTTAATTTTCTCATTTTTGTGAGAAATTGTATTTACCCATTTTATGAAGAGGTAGAAAAATTTGCTTAAAAAACATAGGCCTAATATAAAACTAATTTTCCCTGTATGTCCAAATATTGTGGATGAGCCAGTAATGCTATAATCAGAACAACAAAGTAGGACCAGCACAACTGCATCAGTGCAATCAAATAAACAGTTACACAGTGCGATGTTACCGCAGCCGGCATATAATAATAGCCCAATAATATTGCTATACATTTCTTTTAAACTGTGAAGGGAATGTTGGAAGAGCTTGGACAAAAATTAGAGGAAAATTCAATTACATGAGGGCGGAGCAGAGAAACAGTTGGACTGTGATCTTTGACGGTCTAATAGATTCAGCCAATATATTATTCACAGCTCTCAGTTCATATCAAAGACCTTATATATTGTGTTCACTGTTCAGTCGTTATAGAACATCATTAAAGAGATAGTTCACCACAAAACGAATCACCTCAAGTTGTCCCACACCTGTAACTTACTTTCTTCCCTGGAACACAAAAGAAGTCGTTGGGTATTATGTTAGTGATGGACAGCCTCAGTCATTGTTCACTTTCATTGTACCTGAATGAGTCTGTCATTTTGACTTCTCCGTCGGCGTTCCATGGAAGAAAGAAAGCCATACAGGTCTGAAACAACACGAGGCTGATGTGATTCATTTGTGGGTGAACTATATTCTTTTAAGACTTCCTTAGTTTTTAACCATATATTCACATCATACTAAAAATGATAACCTTCCAGAGTGAGTGAATAAATGAATTTGCAATTTCTTAAAGGGATAGTTCACCCAAACATACAATTATGTCACCATTTACAAACAGGAACATGAACAAATGTTTAGCCCTGCCCATCTATACAATTGGTAACCAAATTTTCTTTTTATCAAAATATCTTCTTTTAGGTTTTTGGTACGACATGAATTATAATTTTCATTTTAGGTGAACTGTCTACTATTAAGCTTTGACCTCACAGTGTTAAGTTAATGTCACTGTCACCTCTCATTTGGGGGGAATATGTTCTGTGTAAGATGAAATGTGCATATGGATCTCAAAAGTGCTTTTGTGTCACGTAGGCAGATCTAATTGCATTTCTTCAGAGCCCCGTTGCACTGTCTGAGTGTTATTTGATGCAACACAGACAGAGAAAGAGAGAGCGAGTGAGAGAGAGAGAGAAGAATGAAGTCACGTCGAGCAGAACTTCAGTACCCAGAGTCCTCCAGAGGAGGAGAAAAAAACCTAGACACAAGAATCTACGGAGGCCCGGATGCCCCCATCGACAAGGCACGTCTACAGCCCTCTCTGACTAGATTCCTCGGAGTTGGTTTGCAGAGGGCGAGAAACGGCGCAGAACGGCTCATTCCAACATCTCGCGCTCGCTGCACTCCCGGCGCGCTCCTGTGAAAAACTGCGGTACTCTCTTACTACAATTTTAGTTTTTTTTTTTTATTTACAGCCGACGTGGTGACAAAAACACGCGATTTTTTTTTCTTGTTCTCCTCTTTTTTCTGTTTTCTTTTTCTTTTTTCTTAAAAAAAACAACAACCCAGATGCTGAACAGCCTGTTTGGCGTCGCAAGACAGAAGAGGACCGAGATGACTAAAACACCCGTCATTCATGCATAGTAGTTTTTTCACCCCGATACAGACAGCCTCTGCTTTTAGGATGTTGCATGTCACGGAACGGTGTGTTCTCGAGTCGCGAGGAGCCTGAGGAGCGCGTGAGGAGCTCGAGCACCACAGCTGCAGCAGCGGAGCTCGTCGCCTCCCGGTGAGTGCGCGCGTCTGGCTTCACACACAACATTTGCATAGTCTTCCCCTGCGCCGCGGCGCATTTCACGAGGGTTTGTGTTTTCTATTGAAGGAATTTTTATTAACCTCATCGCTGCCATTCATTGAGCTCGCGATAGGTCACTCGCATTCAGCGCGCGCGCAAACACACACTCCATACACATAGATTACACTCACCCTCTATATCAGGCATATCATTAGCCGCAGGTTGCCAATATTAAATATTTCTGACACGTACATTTTTTGTGGAATAAAATGCGCGGACAATATAAGAGATTCGTTGACCGTTGATTACGAAAATTGACCGTTTGGTTACGTATATTGGGGGACGTGTCGCTATAAATGCTGTGCCCATTGACTGAGGATTACTGATCATAAGTGTCTGTTAACTGACGGCATGAATGCGCTGTGTGATTATTATGGGCAGACGACAGCCGCGCGCCGCCAATGACTGCACTTTTGAATAGTCTGGCTTTTATTATTCTGCCTTCAGTGTCTCTCAATGTTTCATTTAGAAGTGCTTTATTGGCATGACTGTTTTATACAGTATTAAAGATGCCAAAACATCAGTGACAGAAAAAATGTCATGCTAATTGAAGTCATGATTTCAATATAGCTAGATAAACGTTTAAAAGAAAATGTTACGTAGCATTGGCATTAAGACATGCCAATTACGAAGTTTTTTTATTATTATTATTAAACTAATCTCCTGTC